CCCCCCTCGCAAAACAAAAACAACAAAAAAGCCGCGATCGCGATCTGCGGCACTTCGGCAGGAGGTCCTTCGCTCCGAGCTGGAGTGAGGGACCCATTGCCGAATTGCCGCTGAAGAGCCGGACGTGCCGCCCCTCTCTGGTGTGGCCGCCCCAAGAACCTGCTTGGTAAGCTGGTGCCTGGAGCCGGCCCTGGTCAGGAGCAGCAGCAACAGATACTGCCAGAGATCTTTACAAACTAAGCTCCTGGCTGAGCAGTGGGTGTCTAGGGCATTCTATTCCCTCTCTTTTAATAAGTTTCCCAGCCCAGGCAATTGCAGAGCACAGATGCACGCCCCTCTAGCTTATCCTGTACAAACCTGATATTAACTTGCAAAATTCTTCTTTATTCTGAGGCGTTCTTGATTCAGGTATCTTACAAGGTTGCTCTCTCCTGACTGACTGCTCTTGAGTTGTCTAGCAGTAGGGCATTGAGTCATCTGAAGCATCACTCCTCTGGTTCCCCAGAACAATTACTGTATATCCTGTGTCATTGAGATGACACCTAAAGGAAGCGCGCTGGTAAATGTGTTCTGGAAGAGTCCATCGTTATTACAGTGACCTCTTTCATGCAGTGTGATGTGACTTTCATATGGGACTGATTGGTACAGTTTTCCTCCATTTGCTTAAAAATATAGCCATCATTGGGTGACGAAGCAGGAAATGTAACTTTAACTCACCATCAAACTGACTTCCATAATAAAAATCCTGTGCAATTCAGGAAACCTGCTGTAGTGTGAAGAAAGCAAAACCAAAATAGACAGACAATTTTTTTTAGCAAAGAATAACTGTGATGGGTTTCGATCACAGAAATCCCCTTGGGAACTGCCAACTGATGTGCCAAGACTACTTCTGCTCCTACTTTCCCTGCCAGCTTGGGACTTCAGCAACCTGTCTTGTTGAACCAGACACACCAGTCTGCTCCAACACAGACCCAGGGTCTGAACCATGTGCTCCAAAGCTGCAGACTTAACTGAAAGCAACTTAAGAAGTGTTCCTGTCTTTAACACTCAGATGCCCAACTCCCAATGGGGTCCAAACCCCAAATAAATCAGTTTTACCCTGTATAAAGCTTATGCAGGGTAAACTCATAAATTGTTCACACTCTATAACACTGATAGAGAGCCATGCACAGCCCTTTCCTCACCCTCCCCCCCCCCCCAGGTATTAATGCATACTCTGGGTTAATTAATAAGTAAAAAGTGATTTTGTTAACTACAGAATGTAGGATTTAAGTGGTTCCAAATAGTAACAGACATGACATAAAGTGGATTACCAAGTAAAATAAAATAAAACACACAAATCTAAGCCTAGTACAGTAATGAAATGGAATATAGATAAAATCTCACTCTCAGAGATGTTTCTTTCACAGACTGGGCACAATCCTTTCCCCTGGTACAGCCCTTGTTCCAGCTCAGGTGGTCGCTAGGGGATTCCTCATGATGGCCCCTCCTTTGTTCTGTTCCACCCACTTATACATCTTTTGCATAAGGTGGGAATCCTTTGTCCCTCTCTGGGTTCCCAGCCCCTCCTTCTCAATGGAAAAGCACCAAGTTAAAGATGGATTCCAATTCAGGTGACATGATCACATGTCACAGTAAGACTTCATTACCCACTTGCCAGCACACACGTATACAGGAAGACTTACAAGTAAAACACAGCCATCTACAGTCAATTGTCCTGGTTGATGGGAGCCATCAAGATTCCAAACCACTATGAATGGCCCACACTTTGCATAACTACAATAGGCCCTCAGAGTTATAGTTCATATTTCTAGTTTCAGATACAAGAGTGATACATTTATACAAATAGGATGACCACACTCAGTAGATTATAAGCTTTGTAATGATACCTTATAAGAGACCTTTTGCACGAAGCATATTTTAGTTACATTATGTTCACACGCATCAGCATACTTTCATAAAATCATATAGAGTGCAATGTCACAATAACCTTACATAAATGGCTGCTTGAAACTGTACTCAGACTTCTGGCTACAAAGATTAATGGTTTTTAGGCTGTTAAATAAACATTAAATCCTGATACTTTTAAACCATATCTCCAAGTTAACTTAAAGAATCAATCCGCATGGTACATTCTCTGCATTCAGACAAATCTCACAACAAATTGCAATGTTTATTTTACCAATCCAAGATAAGGCATTGTTTTTCACATGATGTTGTGACAAGAGCCTAACACATTTTTTCCACACTTCAAAATCATTATTCTCAGGTCCGATAATTAGGAATATCTTCCATTTCTGCTTTTGTGTTTAAAACAAAACAAAAACAGGAGCAACATCAAAATTTACCAGTGTTCTGAAGGAATCTGTGATTTATGTGAGGGTAAATAGACCCATTGTTAGGGGCAGTTTTCTGATTTGTTAAGGTTTTTGTAGGCACAGCTACATAACCCAGTAAAGTGATGGTTTTTGTGTCATTCTTGGGGTCGGGGCGGAGAGAGGTGCTTGTGCAGTTTGATCACACAACAGCACAACTCCCAATAAAATGAAACAGAAGGGAGGTTCACTACATGAAAGATTTTTATGCTGTTGGAATTCAACTACCAGAACTTTACTTTGACTTTTCCTTGAATCTGACATCGCATTATGAGTGTCCTTTAGGCTCAATCCTGGCCCTACCTGCCAGCAGCTGAGAAGTGACTCTCCTTATAACTTCATTATTTATCTTCCATTCGGTAACTTCTGTTTCTACGTAGTGTCCTTGTGACGTTTTATTGAGTTGTCCAGAATGATAAGTCACCTTGTTACCCTTCGGCCTAAGCGAGAGAGAGATTTGCTGCAGCTAGACTGGGTGTTGGCTTCCAACAAACTCCTCAGGACGCTGCCAGGCCTTTCCTTGCCTTGCAGGGAACTCTTGGTGCACTTATTTCCCAAACCCTCTGGAAGAGCATTCCTCTGCAGCATCCAGCCCCGTCACTGGATGTCCACGGAATACCAAGTCCACTGTCTCAGAGACAGAAGAGAAACCAGTCTGCTGGCTCAGCAAAGGATGCCCTCCTTGCTTTAGTATAACAGCACTGAGTGGAATTTATAATAAACCAAAGAGCAGTTCATTAATAAAGACAGAGATTTAAGTGATACCAAGTAGAGATCATAGACACAGAAACTGGTAAATCAAACAAAAGAATAACACACTTCTAAGAACTTCCATGTAGACTTAGCAGGCTCCACGCTTTGTCTGAAGCAGTTTTCTCACCTCTACAGTCCCTTTTTCAGCATCACCAACCCTCATAGATGCAAAGAGCGCTGACCTCTTTGTTCCCTAAGTGATGGGGAACGAGATGCCTTTTTTCTTTTCCTTATATTCTCCAAAAATCTTCATCTCAAGAGTCAGGTTGACCCACGGGCATTCAGACGGTGATGTCCTCCAGTGAGCATCCATACACACCATCCATACATACATCACGCAATGATATTATTGACCAGATGTCACCAGCTTTTATTTGATACTACACATGACAGCTTTACAGATAAATACTATGACAGTAGTGTGTTAGGTGTAGTAAGTGTGTCAAGCCTGATAGGAGTTCACAGAATAGTAAGATCGGAAACATTCATTAACCTGGGAGGTAATGTGTCGGATCCTTTGGGATTGGTAGAACCTTTTCTTTTACATGATGAAATAAGATTTACAGAAATTTTCATCATATTTGACACGGTACCTGGATCGAGGCTTGAGGCTGGATCACTTTAAGGAAACTGTTGTTTGGGCTTCTGAGTAACCAGTAAGGTAGTAAAGAAGCTGTTTTATGCTGGTTTGGTAAATCTAAGTATTGGAATATCCACCAGCTTTTTGAGGTTTAGCTGCCCCATTCTTTGCAGTTCATCCTCATTGAGTGATCACAGCTGGCCCCCACTAGGACCCCAGTCACAGGGGGTATGAAAGGTGGATCATCCGTGCCCTACTTTTGTTTCATCCACCTATCCTGTTTTATCTGATACCTAGACCGTACGCTGTCTGGGCAGTCATTGACTTTTGTTGTTGCAATGGGACCCTGAACCTTGACTGGGGTAATGCACTATCCTAATATAAAAAAATTAGGAAGGAAATATCTGATGCAGAAAAAAATGAGCTGGCATAAATAGTCAAGATAAAACAACGCCTGCAAAAGACGCCTGAGGATTCTACTGCGTGCCTGCCATCTGTCCTCCCCAGTATTCTGCCCTCTATTGGTATGTCTACACTGCAGCAAGGATGAAGCCTGGGTAGACAGACGTGCACAAGTGGAGCTTGAACTAGCAGGCTAAAAAATAGCAGTGGGAATGTTGCTGCACCAGCAGAGGTTCAGGCTAGCCACCCAAGCTTGGACCCAGCAAGGGCCACACTGCTATTTTTAGCATGCACAAGCCTTATTAGTATGAGTCAGTCTACCCAGGCTGGGAAGCTCACTCCCAGCTGCAGTGTAGACATACTCTAAGAAGAGCCAATGACCAGATACTGCTAACATGACACTGAGACAGCTCTTTGATACAGGGACCATCTCTTCCTAGCTCTGTACAGCATCTAGCACAATGGATAAATGTGAAATATTTATGCCTTTCATATGATTTGAGCATTGGCCTATTAAACCCAGGGTTGTGAGTTCAACCTTGAGGAGGCCATTTAGGGATCGGGGACAAAAATCTGTCTGGGGATTGGTCCTGCTTTGAGCAGGGGGTTGGACTAGATGACCTCCTGAGGTCCCTTCCAACCCTGATATTCTATGATTACTAGAAAGTGCCAATTTTTGTCAGATATTTATGAATCATATAAGAAAGAATGAACCTATCATGCCAAATGACCATTTGGGGGGAGGGATAGTTCAGTGGTTTGAGCCTTGGCCTGCTAAACCCAGGGTTGTGAGTTCAATGCTTGAGGGGGCCACTTAGGGATCTGGGGCAAAATCAGTACTTGGTCCTGCTAGTGAAGGCAGGGGGCTGGACTCAATGACCTTTCAAGGTCCCTTCCAGTTCTAGGAGATAGGATATCTCCATTATTTCTTTTCTTCTCTTTCTTTCTTCTTTACTCATTATGAAGGGGTTCTTTTCCCTTGTTTGGATTTGCTCTTTTGTTGATGAGTTCTAGGGCTCCTGCTTTGATCCTGTGGTGTGTAAGGTGGTGTACTCCGGATCACGTTACTCTGAACTAGCTTAGTCATTATTTGTATAGTTGAGAGTCAACGGATGCACATGATTCTTTCAATGAACAGCTGCTACTGTGGTTTACAGTTAGTATAAATGTGCAGTAACTTTTGTGACACTGCTGAAAGGTTGGGACCTGGTTCACAGGCAATAAAACTATGCTGGTCCTAATATGGACACTGCATTTGTAACAATCCAGGAGGTGCAGTGGGTCCCTGAGGAGTGTCAAGGTGTCGAAATGATGCCTGACTTAAGGAATTTCTATGCCAAGTTCATTACTTTTAAGACCAATAAAGTGAAAGCAGCAGCTTTCAGGGAAGTAGAACATTTTAATGTAAAACCCGGGCCTAACTCTCATCAGAAGCTAATGAAGAGAGAGTACTACTTACTACTGGTAGATTATTTTAATACTGGATAAAGTTAGGAAGAAGATTAATAGTAATGCTCACATAAAAAGGGCCCAGTAATTTGGAAGGCAGTTGAATGAAAGGAACTTCTTGCTTGAATTGACATTATTCTTCAATGTGCCTTGTCTGAAGACTTCCAAGGAAGTCCACAAGAGGCTATGGTTCTTGCGTCTTTCCAAGCTAGAGTGGAAAAGTTTTCCAGGGTCTGCTATCAGGACATTCTGCACCATCTGTGTGAGATGAATCGGAAAGATGCTGATGTAAAGGTGTTTCAAGAAATCCACCTACTGCAAGCCAGGCTTACAAGGAATTTTCAGAAGGTCTACACTTGTGCACAGACCCTGTGTGTCAAAAAATGCCCAGTGCAGATGAGTGGTAAACAGTCCTATAGTGACTTGCACCTGACTCTCGATCTGGAAACTGGGTATATATGAAATATCTGTATTTATTCTGTTACATATTTACTTACTATGGGGGAAAATATCCCCCTGATTTATGTCCTACTCAAACTTCTTACATCTTATTACTATAAGAGATATGTTGTGAAGTTGGAGAGTTCTGCTTCCATTAAGGTAATAAGAGAGGAATGTTCTGCCTGTGATATAAGATTGCTGTTAACTGTCTATTGGGAAGACCCTCATAACTCTGGGTATGTATCATCTCCAGGATGTAATCTACACAGGGATAACTATAGAATGTATGAACATTCTTCAGCTGCAGATCAGCTGAAGGACTGGACAATGCCTGCAGTATTTCCATTATCCAAAGGAAAAGATGCCTCTCCATTCATTTACCTGCAGGCCTTTTGGCTTCTCATCCACATTGTTTGCATCAATGTTTTGTCTTCTGTATTCTCTGCAGCTGTCCCAGTCTTCTAGGAAAGGATCTCTAGGTGAGTTCACAAAATCTCTGCCTCGGGGGATGAATGCATTTTACTTCAATCAACCCTCCATTTTTGCACATTTGAACAGAACAGTTTTTACAGATGAAGGAAGTCAATGTTAGTTTGTCTTTTTGAAATATTTTTTAAAAAATAAGTGTAAACAAAGTGTGTGTGTGTGTGTGTGTGTTTATTTACAACTACATATATCTATTGAAGACGATGGCTTAACTTGCAAAATTTGGATCTAGATTTCCAACATCTGAAGGTTTTGATTCTGTCCATTACAAAATTACAGATCATTTACAAAATTCATATCTAAATTGAATTTTGAACATCCCAAAGTTTAGTCTGCGTGTCACTCTTTGTGGTTTACTCGGAGGAGGAGGCTCCCCAGCCAGCAAGCCAGACTCTTTAGCCAGGTTCTTGAATGTTAACCTGATCCTGCAGGATGTACTATGTTAACGTTTTATTGTGACTTTAATAAACAGTTTTAAAAACCAGTTATTTTTTCTTAACCCTCAGAGATCCTCTAAAATGGTGTTTGAAAACCAAGCTCTGTTTTTCCTCTTACTTACAACAACCAGCACAATTCTTCAGTCAGAATGCAGTGGGTAGTTTTGTCAGGATGGAAAAGTTTGGGCTAACAAACCAGGGCTGGGTCTTACATACATTAAAGCCAAGGGGAGTTTTACTATTCATCTCTGTGAGAACAAGATTGAAACACACACCCCAACCCACCCACCGGCAGCTCTGAACTGGAAGATACATGTGAACAAACATGCAATATAGTCATTTTTCTGACCTTAACTAGAACTCATGGGAACTCAGCAGGATCACATAGCAACAAGGTAGAATGTTGTCTTATGATGCCAGAAGAATCCAAACTGGAATTGTAGGGTAAGTACAATGAGAACTCTAGGGGAAGTACATACTTTTGCGCAATTGTACTAGAAATGCTATGAAATAAGGGAATGACTGTATGAAAAGGGAAAGAAAAGAGGTGGTGAAATGAAGAGAAGAGGGTAAGAGGTAGCTTCCCAAAGCCAGTGGAAGTAACAAGCTCTTTTGCAAGCCAAGAGATGGCTTCCCAATCAACATCGACACCTGATGATTTCAATATATTTTATTCCCTGTGAGTCTGCATTTTATAACCTAATCTGTGAAGGAAATGATGAACTGTCATTGAATAGAGTAGATGGAATTCATCTGAGCATTTTAAAAGGAGCTGGGGCAATGGGCAGAGCTGATTAGAAAATGGTAACAATTTTCTCATTTGTTATTAGAACAGGAGTACTTGTGGCACCTTAGAGACTAACAAATTTATTAGAGCATAAGCTTTCGTGGACTACAGCCCACTTCTTCGGATG